AACAGAGAAAAAAGAACTCTTCATGCGACTACCCTTCAAAGGAGACGCCGCTGCTGAGCGTGTAACTAGAAGCCTTTCAACAGCTGTCAAGTCAACTTTCCCAGCAGCCAAGCTTAGGTGTACCTTTTCCACGGAGCCACTCATCCGTATTTACAACAAAGACAAGTTACCGACGCTGACCGCTTCTATGGTAATTTATCAGTTCGAGTGCGCCTGTGGCGCTACTTACATCGGTCGAACGGCGCGGCAACTGTCGAAGCGCATTAAGGAGCACCTACCACGCTGGTTGCGTCGAGGCGGTACTGGGGCTATAACTAGCTCTGTTATGGCTCATCTTGTTGATAGTGGGCATGAGGTTGACCCAGTCAGTGCCTTTCGAATACTATACAGGGTCCCTCCACTCCAGTCGAAAGGCCTGCGCCTCCGCACCCTTGCTACTGCCGAGGCGATCAGCATTCGGTTGTATCAACTGCTTTTGTGTGCACAAAAAAGCTGATCGAAGCTGTTAACCTACCTTGGCCAGCCAAAACGGATCCTTCTGAGAGCGACTGCAATTGTGCAACTGCACCTCTGTCCTAGTTTGCTGTTTGTTACTGGTTCATGCCTTTGGTCGACACGTGATCAATCTCATTTGAACTGATCGTTAACCCACTTTTACGCCCATTGCTATTTCACCCATATGATTGTACGGGTCTGAAGATGAATCATCGAAAACAATTGTTTACCTTCGGTCTTTTGTTTTTGATAATGAAATGGGAATTTTCCAGTTACTGAAATCGTCCAAGAGTCTGTTTTGAAGGTGAATACACATCTGTTTTAGCAGTCTTTGCTAATCAGTACGCCTTTACCGAAAAAAAGCAATCCGTTTTTCTTAGCTCTAATTTTTGTATTCATTCCAGGTAGAACTACTTAGTGAATTCATGAAAGACCTGCTGCCAGATAGTCGATCCTAGTCGGACCAACGTAGTGAGAATTTCATGGCAACTATTAACAAGTCACTTACAGACATCCACACAATCGGTTGATGTGCGTGTTATCGTGCCAAATTGGTTACGTTTTCCATTCTTTAACCGCACACATCTGCATCGGAATTCTAAACAATTCCCGCTCCATCCGTGCTGTCAATGTTGCTTTCCGTTGCGTGGATTTCTACGTTCGCAGTACCAATCTCATTTTCGGTCTCAGCATGACTGTCACCTACATTTTTGTCACTTCTGTCACGTAATTTTGATGAATTTACGCTTGGAAGTAAGCAATCATCCGCACTAAAAATGCAGCCCCATCACACGTGACGCCCAGGTCGGACCACCCCACCTATGGGATGCTTCTGCATCGATATATGGATGTTATCACATTGGGCATAGATGACTGTGTCTGCACTGTCGTCTGATAGAAAGTAACTCATCAGCCGGAGTGGTCCACATGACACTGAGCCAATACCGTGGAAATGTAACTTGTGAATGCGCAAATTCATCACAACTGCGGTTTTCAAACTGCAGCCGGAACGTCATAAACTACCCACTCTAAAGAGATCTTCGACGCACAAGGATACGTAAGTAATAATACTGCCGTTCACATTCACTGGGGTGCATTCCCCAGCTCGCAACCTTGATCCTTTGATTCACCGTGAAAAGGTTGTTGCATTTACAAGAGCACCGACAATTGTATACACCGCAACCAGTGTATCATTAGCGAGGTGTACAGTTTTGTCATTATTTCAGTTGCAACATTTGACCGTAGTTTAGCCCAGGGAGCAGTGGACAAGTCCTTCACTTTACTTCGTATCGGGCCCCCATACGCTGCGTATTTTTAAACGCAAATTCATTTACAAAGTCCAACATTGCCTTGCAAATCTCTCGAACCAGTCTTGGTTATCGCGATTCGCATGACTACACTTGTAAACGAACGGGGTGGAGGGACATACATGGGTGTCGCACACAGAAAGTGTCACATATTACAAACTAAATTGGGTTTGCTGTAGGAATGGATGCCTTTAAATCTAAAGTACAGCTTCCGAACCGGCTGATGTGGGTTCCGAACTTGGCAGAGCAACTTCTAATCGGGCAACGAATTAACGCGCCAGTGCACTCAAATACAGTAGCCAAATATCGCACAGAGACGGTTTCCACTAGACACGCAATTCATTCGTTCAGCTTCAATGACGACATCTTGTCTGGCAATGGATGCGTTTGCGAACTCGCATCTGCCCATGCACTCACCCTTGGAAAAGGCTGACATGAGGTGTGCAATAATTTCCTATTCACTACTAGTCAACTATTCACGTTGATATTCCATACTGTGACGGTTGCTTCACCCGGCAAGCTCACTTGGTCCTACAATGCGCTTTCCAAACATCCTAGTTTTCCGAACAAAGAAACCGTAGCTACATTATCTCAGGCTGATCATGTAAGAGTACGGCGCGGCGAATACCAGCACGCAAAGCACCATAAGTTGAACATATCACTCGGGCATGGCTCACTGGATGCCAATCCCGTGTCACTCCCTTGCGCTAGACTTCAGATATCGCTTCAACCCCCGTACGAACACGTAAACTGATGTATGTGCAAACAGATTTTGAAAACACTGTGAATACCCACACGTCCCTACGCGCTGCCAGTGACGTGCTATACAACCAGATACGTAAAAAATAGGCCAGCAACGTGATCAAAACATGTCATTTTTTCTAGACAATTAGGAAAATGTACACGCATATGTCGAATAGCATTACGACATCCCACAACGCTGATATCCCTGGTGGCTGCTCCTGAAATGCGTTCAAGGAACTGCAGCCTCCATTCCATCTGCGTCATGAGTTTCTGGGGATCTCCGGCCAGAAATTCCTCGTAGTGCACTCTCATCTCATTCTTCACTCTTGCCTTCACCACCTACCAAACATTCTCGATCGGATTGAGGAACGGAGAGTATGGGCTCAATCTCAGTATGGTTACTCACTCGTATCCATCTACTGACGACAGTTCTTCCAGTAGTGGGTGACATGGTGCATTATCACGACAACATGCCGGAGCTCCATCTCCCACTTCAGGTTGTCTAAATAGCTTTGCAGCTATTCGAAAGATAGGGGACTTGTGAATGAGCCTCTCGGAGTGGTAATGGACACTTTCACTTCCATTGTGAGTGCACCGAGCAAATGCAAATTGAGGCCTCTACTGCTGGCAATTTTGCAACAGGCCGTCACTCCCCTGGGCGCCCGAGCACGAGTGAAATAAACGTTAAGTTCGCTTCATCAACCCAAATGAAGAACTTGCCATCGCTCTCAAGTTAGAGAAACTGCTGAACGAATTCCCTGCGTTTCCCTTTGGTTCGCTCATTGTTCACACCCTAGGAAACCTGATAGATGTTCTTCATAGTTATCAATCGACCATCCAGATGCCGTGTGATTGTTGACCTCGAAATGTCCTTGTCCATTTCTGCTCGTACTCGCATTTCCCGTAGCGTAAGAATCGAGTCCCTTGCGATCCAATCCAGGATGTCATCTACGTCTTCCTCCGACAAAATCCGCTTACGACCGTGCGCCTGCGTAGTATTCAGATCCTGAACAAGAGAATGACGAATACAGGAGTAGGCTGTTTGCTATTTGACGTTGTTCACAGTTGCCACCAGTCATCACCGTTGACGAAGGCGCTCAAAACTCGGTCACGAATGTCTGATGAGATACTCTGTCGAACGTGAGAAGACATGCCGACGATGTTAGTATCATAGACAGTACCGCTCGTATGCTTATGTTCCGGCTGTTCATTGCTCTTAGATCAATTGTGTTCCACCGTTTCGGACGTGAGGGGGGGGGCGCATACAAGCCTCTTGCACCGCCGAAGTCCATGCCTCTAAGGTTCATTCACAACTCTCACCTAGTCAACGGGCAGCGCGCGCACCTCCCCAAACTAACGCATCGAACCTTGGCATCCGGCCAATGAGAAAAACTTAAGGTCAGAGGATTGTCTTTGACTAGCTGGCGAATCGCACAGGGTTTAGCAGGCTTTTGGACCTTCTTTGCAAAGTTTCGGACTTTTTGTGCAACTTCGCGGGAAATGCTATAGACAAGCACCAGACATGCAGGAAAACAGTAGGCACCCATTTCGTCCTACTGGGACTCGTCGGTAGCGCGGATCTTGACCCTTGAGCCTGCCCTTACGGGCCAGTGACTTAAGCCATGGGTGTCTCCTGAGGACGGTCATGACTGATTCCTAACTACGGTATAGCGCGGCTCATCCTCCGCTATTGTGCATGTCGTGAATGTGCGTCGGATATTGCTGGTTTCTGGAGCTGCGACTTCGCAATCCGCCACAAATCCAGATGGCATGTAAACAGCTAAGGCGATTACTGACTATTAGGGAGTAGTAAAAGGATAACGGGAAGTTCAGCGGTCATATATTTCCAGAGCGCCGACGAACGATGCGGTTATCAACAATTACCTGACTGGAAGTAGATTGACAAGAATCAGTTGACGCAGACTGAAAACAACCATGGAGCACAGAAAATAATAACTAGTGCGCAGGTTATTACAGACTGAACAATATTAGACAAGCGAGATTCAGCCTTCGGTTACTGGACGAGAAGGAAGGTCAGGTGCGAACGATACTGACGGTTAGGTAGCGTGGGATGCGCATTGTAAACGACAGACTGATTCACAGCTAACATATTTGGCGGAATTCCAACACCTAACTGTCCCATCTTAATAGGACTGAGGGTAAGAGTGTTGAAGTACCCGGTTCGCTGATTCTTTTTCTTCACCGGCGTTTCCGCAACAGGCCGGATGAAGACAATTTTATGTTCGGTCTTGGGCCTGACAGAAAAGACTACGGCTGGAGAAATAAGTGTTGTCTCTTTTCTAAACCGCATGACAACTTGGATTTGGTTTGGTTAAAAGAGAAATGCTGATTATACTAATTCACGAGCATCCCTGAATTAGAAATACCTCCCCGTATGACCAACCAATTTCAAGAAGGTAAATCCGCTAAGAAACAAAGGGCATTGTTTATTCTGGAGCATAGTGTTTGGGGTTCTAAGGATGATGTGAAAAAATTAACAACCTGATGCTCCTCCCAGTATGACACCGGTTCTGAGCCTCACCCATTTCTACCAGAATTCAAACAGGTGTTCAGCGAACGAACGCACGCTGTCCGCAAAAGGAACGCGGAACACGCAGACCAGCAAAAAGACGGTTTATTTACGCACTGCATCTGTGTTAAGCGGGGGACTTTGCATCACTCACACTAAGGAATATAAAGAAAACTCAACAGTTCTGCGCCGGGACTTGTGGTGCACTCAATGTCTACAGGAAAACTGGTGGGAAGCAGGAAATATAGCGGCAACAAAGGCATTCAGCTAACAAAGAAGATACATCTGTACAACACTAGAAAAGTAGGGAGTGACACACAAAATAGCTCGGTTGATGCATTCGAATGGGAAAGACATCATGGTTTGGTGGCACACACCACGTCGATCGTCATTTGTCCCGCTGTAAGCATTGTGCAGCCACGTGCAGCAAGGCGTGACGTGCCGGAGAATCACGAAAGCGCATAAGACAACGCTGGGCAGCTTGAAAGTGGAACTCCGCTAGCATACGCGTTTGTCCGATTCCGTCAGACTGCAACAAAAGTGCACAAGAGGAAGAGTTGTAACGGAATAGTGAGGTGATACCAACGGTAACTGCATGAGGTGCGTTGGCATGAGTGCCCAGGTAAAAAATACGTGGCTTGAAACGAAACACTAGGTGCTACGTTTGTCTCAAGGTGTTCATGAATGGATACATCATGAGACTAAGTCAGCCATTCTACGTGAACAAATGAATATCTCATGTATGCAGCAAAACTGGCTTTCATTGAAAGGTAGCGAGAGAATGGTACGGGCGAAAACGAGCCGAATAAAACAACTTCGATGCTAACTTTAATGCTATCATACATTATTTGTCAATGAGTGACATGCTCCACCCGAGAAGCTAAGGTCCTGACAACAGTGAAGTCTTTCGAAATGAAAGCGGTGGAGGGCAAAGGCAGACAGACACACACACTTGAGTTAATGCAATGGAGGTGCGCTCAAAATCACCAGCCCATTCATACGAGCCAGAGTCAATGCAGATGAAATCATGTGACTCCAAGGTACGGATGTGCAGCTGCTCGAGCACATTGAGAGTGCTCACAACCAGTTTTCATATACATATCAGAAGAGCCACTTAGGTTGGGCGGATCGGATTTCGCAGTTTGGTAAAAATATCCACTATTGGGAATCGTCAAGTGGATAGTGGACAAGGGTACAGTACATCCGTGAAAGCGAATCAAACGAAAGAGGGCCTAAAAACTATCTGAATATAAATTCAGTTCTAACCGATCATCACCTATGAAAACTTGAGATGATGATGGAGGTGATGGTGATGAGACGGTGACCATCGCTGCCTTCGCAGTTTAACTCATGTCTGGTGGGAGCAGCGCGTGAGCAATGAGCGTGTTTGGCGTCGCGTATTTGGTGCAGGAAGAGCGAGTGAACTGCTCAGCACCATTATATTACGCATCAGGCTCCGATGGCTGGGCCACGTGTTGCGTACGCCAGCACATCGACTTCCGCGAAGTGCATTGTTTGCGCGTTGTGGGTGCGGTTGGAAGATGAGGAGGGGAGGCCAAGTGATGACCTTGGTCGGGAGAGATGAAAACTCTCAATTCGAAGTTGGCGTCGGCTGGTGCATCCCGACTGCCGATGAACACGTTTGGTTGGACACACTTGTTGATATAGTTTGGAGCCGACCGCAATGGCGTTTGTGTTGTGAGTTCCTTTGTCCATCCCCTTTCTGCTTAATATCCCCTCCAATCGCGATCTCACTCGTTAGGCATAATATGATTCACTGTTTACGGCACGATAGCCAGCTGTTAGCTCTCCGGAACGATGTCCATCCGTTAATGGGGACTCAACCGGTGTGCCACTGTTTGTTTTCCTTTGCTTGTCTTGTATTTCGGCACAATAGCTGAGGTGAATGGCTGAGGTATTTTCCACCTGCAGCTAACGTGTATAATGGTGATGATGATGACAAAGAAGATGACAATGAGGGCGCTGCTCCTGACGTTGCTGACGATAAGGATAATGAGAATAGTAATGACGATGACTCGGATGATGAAAAGCAATGTCTGCACATTAACGCAGGAATTCACTAATGTTTACAGTAGAATGAACAAACGTGACGATCTATGCATCTTGTGGACCGGACGTCCTAGTAATCACTGACAATTGGTTGAATCCTAAAGTAACTGACTAGGAAGCCCAGATCAAGGACAATTCGTGCTTCCGGTGTGATAGAGCATTAAATGACCGCGGTGATATGCTGTTAACCATTCGATCCTCGTTGTGCGCGGGACCAGTAGTAGGCACCTACCAAAGTGGAGATGGCGTGTGCGAGCAATCGTGCTGCTCGATCCACATGACGCGTAACGTACTGTTCGTGAGCGCAGCCTATTGCAGTCCGAGAAGCCGCTGTTTGAACCGGTTGAGCATGTACAAAACGACATGAGCCATCCCCGCTTACCGCTCATGGGTTAGTTTAACTTACTTCGAATTCACTGACCTGATGTACAACTTCTCTCCGGGCATTGTGAAGTGGAGGCAAAGTTTACTGAGATAATATTTGAGACAAAGACAGGGTAAAGTCCGTAAGACTGATTTCCTGTACCAGATGGAGTATTCCCTCGTACTGGCTCAGTGATCGTATTCCCACCCCTTCTATCTCCCGAACAAATAAGTGCTTCTCACACTTTGGACTATTACACGCTGAAACGTGTATCGTTTTACATTCGCTTTATTTGCATGCACGTTTCGCAAGGTCACGCTTTCGTCAGGCTACTAGTAACATTACTGTTATCGGGTTCCGCCGCCGTTTCAAACCTAATAGTGAGTCTTATCTTGTATACTATTCTGCCATTTAAAAGCATCAGCAGTACGCCGGCACGCAGTACGGATGCTTCGCTGCCGCGAAACCACCAACAGTCGCACGTGGGCCAAGAATAATGCGAGGGTCGCCCGGTCCCCACTCAGGCCTGAACCCACTCCCTCAGATTACAAGGCAGGCTTGTGATCCTTAAGGCTACGGGCCGGCTTCTGCCCTTTAGAACCACGGTTACATGATTTTATAACAAATTCTTCCGTCCCGACAGCTTTTGCCCAGACCGTGCGTATAGTCTAGGTTTATAGCTCGAAGCAGCAATATTTTATATACAATGCGTGCAACGTGATTCGACGTAGTGTAGTTAAGTCGTAACAGGCAGCCGACGCGCATTACACCACACTCAAATCCGTCGTGCCTAGACCTACTGCTGACCAGTTGCGAACAGCGTGTGTGTGATGCTATGGTCCTGGAGCCTCTAGCAGAGAGTGATAACTCGACGATCATGGATAGTCTTGAGCTTTCATTACCATAGTCGCGTCCGCTGGAGTCATCCTACAAGTACTGGAAGACAGACATCGATGGTCTTAGTTGAGCCAATAGTCAAGTCGACTGGTAGCTGTCGCAGGAATCATCTGTTGTTCTGTTATAAAAGAGAATGTGAAATCGTCGTGCGTTCGATTCGTATCCCACCATTATCGAAAAGATAGTTCAACAAAGATTATGATCAGTTGGCTCGACGGCGACACGTAGCATGGAAGAAATTCCTCTAGTCTCGCTGTTAACGATTAAGAGGTGTACAAAAGGCAGCGAAATTTATGCAACAACGCGAAAGCACAAAAGCGTGGGCAGTTCGAAGATGAGCTTATAACTGCAGCGAAGACGACCCCCAAGAGAGAAGGTGCTTATCTGAAGCGGAGCCTGAGACTACAGGTGACATAGCAGTGTTAGAGGGCTCTGACAGATAGACTATGGCTTCCAGCAATGAAAATGCTCGGTAGTGAAAACGATTCCAAAGGGTGGTGACTCAACTAAGGCGGACAATGACCGGCCAATTTATTTGACCTCCGTTTGGGTCAAAATGCCCGAGAAGATCATGAAAAAGGATCTACTGCAGCTGCTGGAGTCGAACGACTTACTGACTGCGGCACAGCACAGTTTCATGAAAGACTGCTCACGCATCCTCAAGTTGCTCGTGGCGAACCATGAATAGTTGCAAACGCTGAACGTGATCTACATTCATTTCAGTAAACCGTTGGGACAAGGTGAACCATTAGGTCTTCCTACGCAAGCTGAGGATGTGAAGTGCTGGTGGTTCACTGCACCAGTGGATCAGTGACTACCTCATTGAGAGAAAATGGAGGGTACAAATGGATGACCACCTAACGGAATGGTGCCCGTCCCATAGCGATGTACCCCAAGGCACAGTACGGGGGCCCATTTTGTTCCTGATACACTACAACGAAATACCTCAGCTTCTTCAGTCGCCCTGTGCATTGTTTGAAGATGACCTGAAGACTAAAGGGTTACTGATACTCCCGACGATTGTGAGGCTCTTCAGCAAAACCTCGACCTCCCGTCCAGGTTGTCTGCAGATACTGATCTGCCGGTCAATCCAGTAAAATCGTTGAGCCTGGGGAAGGGTGCTGATAGGCGTACGTACACACTGGCCGGCCAACCGCTGCATCCCACAGCTTCCGTGAAAGATCTTGGCGTACTTTAATGTTGCGATTTGAAATCCGTAGACGACATGAGCAAGCTATATATATATATATATATATATATATATATATATATATATATATATGGTTGGCGGCATCCGGTTTCGGATTTGCCTGTCACTGTGGCAAGCCACAGGACGCCTGCGCCTACAGAGGGACCATGGATGGCTTGCGCTGCACCACCCACAGCTCCAACCACATACCCCATATCCAGTGTAAACCCGAAGGAATAAGACCGGGAGGCATGCGGATGGAAGCCATGTTTCATCAACGGAGCCGGCCCACACTCCTTCACAGGCAAACACAAGCACGCTGCATTTGTGGAATCACACGCATACACAAGGCGGTAGCTGGACCGTAGTCCGTTCCACACTGAGTGCATGGAACCACACTTTGGTCCTAACACGGCCACAAGAACGGTGCACCCCGTCCCCTCCAGCAACGATCAACTGTCTCCTAGAGCCAGTATGAACGAGGTAGCGGGTGATAGACAGGTAGGCACCTTGTCAACATGCACATCAAGCGCAGCCACAACGGGGATATCAAACAACAGCCAATCACTTGAGAGAAAGATAACCAAGCAAATAAATCGAGTACTGAATAGGGGAACGTGACAAAAGTCTTAAAATAATGAGCAAGTGAAATAAGTTGTTAACAAAGGATCCGAGATAAGTTCAGGAGGTCAGAAAGTATATTTTACGGAAATGCCACAAACACGAAAAGTTTCTCGAAATTGACTACAATTCGCTTAAGCGAGTTGTGCAAGTTTACAGAAGAACGTATAGGTAGACATTTGAGAAAGAAAGGCGCTAGGAAGAAATTGAATACCCACCACCTAAAATAAAGAGATTTTGCATGCAGGCACGCCGTTAATACATTGAATGCAGCGTACCCACGAACGCTGCGCCGGTTCTCCCTACGTTCTCTGCAGGACGCGTCGTCGCTTCGGTAGTGGTCCCCAGTGGCCTCGCTCAGGGCACACTAAGCCTGCCTGACTCAGGC